AGTCACATAACCAGTCCCACACTGAAACAAAGACATGCACTGGCCGCCTAGACAGCACAACGTAGAAAAACCACAATGAATTATTTTTCCACATTTAAAGAGGCATATGAAATGAACAATCGACATTTAATTCTGCAACTATACGGTTTTCACATCTCTGTCCTATAATGCACAAATACGTGCAGCACTGTAGTCACAAACTACTTAAAAAGCAGGATTGAACAGTCCTAGGACAAAACAGAACATCTACTTTACACTGTAATCATTTTTGAAGAAATACTTTGTGAAAGCAGCATCTTTGCAATACATTCATAAAGTTTTAATAACACACCTATTAAAGTGGTTTACATTATAAAGCATCCTCATAAAAGTTTCACTAAATGCAACATTTCAGAACAATCTGTGCATCAATTTCAATTTCTATTATTATAAATCATACAGGAGTATAGAGTGCAGAATTAAACAAGACCAGCAGCTATCTGCTAGTCTTTGCTTCTGTAAACAAACTTAGTAGCAATCCATTTATGAACTCAGGAGGGCTACAACACGCTGCTACATTACAGAATTACAACAAGCTTTCCTTTTATTGTAGGATGGAAAATTCATTGATCAAACATTTCAAAAAGTGTTTTTTTTCCAAGATGTTCTGCAATTTTAAACTTTTCCTGAAGATGAATTTAAGTGTTTCAACTAGTTTAATGGATAAGAAGATACATTATTACTTTTAGCTGCAACTAACCCCATCTAAGACTGACCTACTCCAAAATCAATTATGCAATGTAATTTAAAAAACAAGGATTCTAGACAGGTTTCTCTCCACTACATAACTAGCTAATGTTGAAGGCTGTTACAGAAATCTGGGGTTCAGGCTGTATATTTCAAGCTCAAATCGGGAAGTTTTTAGGTAAGCCCTTCAAAGAGCTAACTTTAGGCAATGCCTTTTTTGCATTAGCCTAATGAGGAACTACAAATGTTAGTTTCCTTATAGCAGTGAATTTAAATTGCAATGTAGTTAAGCACATGCTTAGCTATGTCTACACATTTTACCGCAAATGTTTTCATGCAGTGCACAGGAACTACATCTCTCTACATAAGCACCCAGCTTATCATGTGCTTCTAAAAACACAAGGAAGAAGGCTGGTCTAGAACCACTTTCATTCTTCAAGTGCTTTTGGATTCAAGCACTCAACCTTAAAGAGAATATAATTTGCTCCCTTCTTATAATATAACAAAATGTCTTACAAAACAAATCCCAAGAAAAAAAAAACTTGACTGATCTTGAACAGCAACACACCAAACCACTGTTTTAAATACCAGTTTTCTTCCTCTAAACTCTTCTATATATACAGTCAAAAAGAACACAGGAAATGTGCCTGGTTTATGTATTTTAAGCAATGCAGTTAAGCATTTGTATGTCAAACATGCATTAAAACATCTTTAACAAAGACTTTAAAAGACGTTTATTCAGTGGATTATGATTAATGGACGACATTTTTAGTTACAAACTATTAGTCTCCAACAGACACAAGCAATCCTCAGAAAACTCAGTAACGTAAAATAAAACCAAAATACGGACAAACCCCAAAAATCCATAACCCAATAAAAAACACTGAATTTGATTTTTTTTACAGCAATCCAAAACATGTTTTAATTTAAATATGTTCAATTACAAAACAATGGGTCAAGATTTAAAAAAAACATGGTGGTTCATAATGATATTCTACAGTTTCTTTCATTTGGGGATCACATAAACTATTGAAGAGGAGTTTTTTTTTTTTAGGAGGGCGTGCAACACTATGCAACATGAGGAAGAAAGATATCAAGGCCAACAAGAAGCTGTTCTGGTTAGCGACATATGCGAAATTCAGAAGTCTGATGTTAGTATATATTGTAACAGCTTGTGCAAAACAACTGCACGTATTAAAGCAAAGCAGTAAATACATCATAATGACAGTACACACTAATGTGTAAAAGCCTAAATATTCCTCATGGTAAAGTCTACCACAGGAAGTCTTCCAGAGAGCCTGGGAAAAACATCTCCTCCTCTTTTCAAACCATTCCTTCTTTGGCTTTGACAAAGTTGACCACCTTGGCAAAGATTTCCTTCAAGTATCTTTCTTGAGGAGAAAGGTCTGATCGAGAAGCCTAGCCAAAGTAGTCTTCCTCTTTTCCTGTTGGGATTGGTGGGGGAGAGAGGCCGGGGGTAGCGCTATTGATTTTGCAAATCTAAAATCACGCAAGTCTTTTTTCCCTGAACCCCTTCATTCTGTGACGTACCAGCAACATCCTCTGCAGCTTCACTCTCTTCGTCTTCTAGTATCTCAAAAGGAGTCATTACATCATAGAGAAAGGCGAGGAAGCCGTAAAACCAATCAGAGCCCTCCTCTGCTAAAATATTAAGGACTTCCTCAAGGGAATCCAAATTTTCATTACTGCCATCTTTGGTCAAGCCTACATTAGAACAAAACAGAAACAAGGAAAGGAAGGAGAGAAAGAGAGTACAAGTGGTAAAGCAGGAAAGGGAACAGGTGGAATAGCTCACTTACTGGTGAGGTTAAGCTAGTTGACTAAAGTTAAGGAAATTGACAGAAGTCTGGAAACACGGTAAGCAAAAAGATTTGAAAGGAAAAAGAAAATGTCAACACTGCAAATGCACTTCACTGAAAAAAGGCATGCACTTGAAAAGCCACACATCAGAGATTATGGCAGCACAAACTACACCCATGTGCTTTGTTAAGGCAGCCAATTTCCGCCAACTACATGAAAGCACTGGGACATAGGACGAATCCTTTGGAATGGGACATGTGGCAGGTGCTCTTCTGAACACTGAATCTGGCTCAATCTGACTGGCTAATCTGTCAATAATAACGGCAGTCATTTTCATTGAAGTAATGAACTTGACTCACTATTTCAAAAACTATATTCCTTAACAGAAGGTTAATATCTATTGCAATGGTCAAATACCTCCGACTGTATTATTGGGTACACTGAATTTTTATCTCAACTGAGATACCAAAAACTCGATTGCAGAGTTTTGTTTAGTTAAACTTACTAAATTGTTCGTGAAACTAAACACTTTTATTAGAACAAAAATCACCCTGCTCTGGATTAGCTCAACAAAGCATGGCAAGTACTAGCATATTAATATGTGAAAGGGCCAGTCCATGAATGCTGAACCAGAGATCTGGTCTGTTTCAAATTCACTTGAAAACACTCAGATAAGAGATTAGAGTGTTCTACAGATACTATGGTTAATTTAATCCCTGTCACTTTTTTTGGTATATGTCCCCAACATATATTTGATCCAGGAATAATATTATTAGGACTAAAGCTGTTGTTCTTCAAAAAAATGTTTTACAAGTCCCAGTATTGTATTTACACTTATTAATGATATATTCAGGAGTCAACATGCAAAGTAAAGCAAACTATCAGTTTTCTCCTAGACCACCTTTAGAATGGTACTTAAAATTGAGCTAGCATGTCACATGCTGAAGTATAGCAAAGCAGCCAAAACAGGATTCAGAAACCACACACTTCAACTACAGTCACATTTCCTAAGTATATTATCTCTGCCTTTCTTCTGAGTAAACCTGAAGTGGTAGGATATGTAACCCTCTGCGTAGTGTACATGCGCTTTAGAATAATTCCCATACCAACACTTGAGCTGGAAAACGTTTGAAACCACTGATTTGTGTATTTTAATTCGATGTACTCATGCACATCCAAAATAAAAAGCACTCAGCTTGCTACGTTATAGCAAACTCTAGAGAACAGAAGTGAACCAAAGTCATACATGCAAACAAAAACCAAACCACTTTTTTAAACCATTCTTCACACGCTAAGAAAATGCTGAATTGGTACACTTGCCTAGCAATACTTTGGCATCCTCCACATCAAAGTCGCCATCGCCATCCGCATCGTAGACTCCAAGCTTGCCTGAAGAGAGACAAAGCTAGTAAGGTGAACTACAAATCTAACCCGCTGTAGTCATTCGTCAATAGTCATCCAGTGTCAGGACAGCTTGCCTATTATTGCCTTTGCTAATAGACCTGACTTGTTAAACGAATGAGGATTTAAAAATCAAAAGATCAATTATAATATAATGTATGGAGCCTGTGCCATGTTCAAGTGCAGTGGATGAAGAACTTAAAGCAGCGGATTTCTAATCAATCCTCATAGGAGTACTAATTTCATATCAATACAGTGATTGAAAACTTAGAATTCAGCAATGCACTCCATCACATTCAGAATATGCACCACAATTCTCCAAACACTCTAAGGTTCCTGCTTAAAACATGCTATTTTCACACCTGAGGGTTAAAAGAAGTTACAATGTACATAATGGATATGAAGAAGGCAAAGTGCTTCTTCTGCTCCCATTTTATCATTGGAGAGCAGAAAGCAGTAAATTCACATAAAAAATTCAAACTGTTAAATACTAAGGATAACTTCTACAGAAATGACATGAAAACATAAATGAAAGGAGAAATCCAGCTATAGATTTAATTTAAACTACATGAACGAATGTCTATTACATTACCTATATATACTTAATTAATTTTCATACATAAATGGACAGTACTTTTACACTATAACTTAAGTTGAACAGGATGTTCTAATAAGTGAGCTGTTTTACCAGCAGGGCTGTAGATCAGATGAATAAATCTTTTTTTTTTCCAGATAAAAATGTAGATTTTGCAATACAGGGCAGGCTAAAAGTCTGGACACCAAGAGTTTCAACAAAATGCAAAAAGATACCATACCTTGTAATACCTCTGAAATGTTATAACGGAAGTCCTTTGCTCTGGCTACATGCAAGATTTAAGAAAAAAAGCATTGCATGTTAGTACCACGGTAAAACAATGTTAGTGTAACTACACACAAAAAAGTTAAAGATTTTCCTGGAAAGAAAATCTATCAGTATTAAGACAGGTCAAAGCAATGTTCAAATGGTGCATAATGAGTTAATCAAACAATCATATGTAATGTTATTCTAAATATCACTTCGATATTTAAAAATCTGATTACAGCTAAGTATCCTCATGTGCAGGTTCTTCCAGTGTTTCCCATTTAAATTGTTTTAGGGCTATTTTCATAGTCTGGATCCTTAAAGTCTTTAGGTCACAGATGTTTGATTTATTTTAAATCCAAGAGCTTTACATCACATGCTTTAAAATTTTAGCATTTGGGGTGTATAATTGCAAGGAATAGCTGCTGCAATGTAGTTGTTTTGGGGTGTGAAAATGATCATGGGCAAAAATTATTGGTACTTGTGGAGTGAGCATGCTTCCATGACAACTACACGCACACAACTTTTTAGACAACACTTCACTTCACTAACTACTAATTTCTGTGCACATAACTATACCACCTCCTTAGAACTGGACCATGGACAGTTTTGAGAAGGAGTTGGCAGAAGTGAATTGGTAGTTCAATACATCAAGCTGTCACAACAAAAGCTGCCTTCATAGGGACTAATTTATTTAACGTATTCTGAATATATTAGAAGATTATTCTATGTTCCCAGATTTGATTAATTAAGGATTCAAGACATGAGAACTACTTTTCATTATCGCACTCCCACTGAATATTTTTTGGGGCTTCACTATGCGTTGTATCTTCAGGTGCCTCCTAATGCACATTTGACACACTGGGCTGACAATCGCTGAGCTTATTCTACCATTATAATTCTATACATACATTATATACATACACTATACACATATACACTATACATTATAATTCTACCAAGCTTGAAACATTCCAGCTATTAAGAACTGAACAGGAAGAAACTGGAACAAGACAACTGGGTGGACTATGCTACAGATTTCAGCTTTGTGTTGCTGGGCACACTGTTTTAAGGACTTCCTGAAGTAAACAGCTGTTTAGATCTGTAGATCTATTCTCTCCTCGTTTTGTTTTGAGTTTAATCATTAATTGGTTAAAAGAAAACATTTGGAGTATCCAGGCCAGGAAGGAAGACACCACCACAGTGAAAGGAAGGGGTGCTGCCCTTGGGGAAAAGACTTACCGAGGACTTCTTCATAATCTACCAGGTCAAACCACACAACTGCGACCGAGGTCCACACGCCCAGCAGTGCGATTACCATAAACCAGGTGAAGAAGGAGCTTCCTGTCAGGCCATCCCCTTTCTTACCATTCTTGTTTCCTATGTGTTTCGCATCTAGCAAAAGAGGAAAAAAAAAACCATCACACGCCGAAACATTTTTAAAGGGTTAGACCCCGAACAGCAGCACAAGACGCATGAGAGATGAGCTCATCTGGCTCTGTTTTTCTCTTGTCCGTGAGAAGTAACGGTTGCACTAGGAACATCCATTCCTTTGAAGTCCCCCCCCCCCAGAATAAGGCAATTCAGATGTGTTTAGGTGGGAGGAAACAGGACCATCTAGTAATGATCCAGGAAGGCAGGGTTAAGAACCCCCACCCCGGAATCTAACCCCAATCCTTTAGAAACCATGGGACAGGAAGTGCACACCATCATAACACAAAAATGGTGTCCCACCCCCCCCCCCCGCCCCCAACAGACGCACAGTACTTTGAGAGATTCGTCTTTATCACTGTAATTCAACTTTGTTTTTTACTTAACCAGATAAGGCAATTAAGAACACTTATTCAGCCAAGCATTTAGTGGAGCAATCTGCATGAAATATTTTTGCTCAAAGGTACAGCAGCTGCAACCAGCCTGGGAATTGAACCCACAACCCTCTGCTATGGGCCAGAGCCCTAGCCACCACTCCACACTGCTTGGAACAACTCCTATAAGTGTGAAGAAATTCACTGAGACGTCACAAAAACAATAAATACATTTCAAAACCAAGCCAGTAATGAAATACGGAGTCCTAAGAAAGAAAAGAGCCATCCAGAAAGTATTTAGATCAGACAGAAGCTGCACTAGAAATGCAACATGGAAAAAAAGCATTCAGACCTTTCTTAAAAAGAAGATACTTTGAATAGAAATCCTTGTTTTCTGCCACATACATTTTTTTACATCAAAATTATCATAGTCCTGCACAACGTGAAGCTGCAAAGTCTTTTAATAAACTATGTTGAGATTTGGAATGCAACTGGATTTGACAGTCATTCTGACAATGCAAATTGTAAGAACTTGCACAAATGCATGAATAGGATGCACAAAACTGACCTTGAAGCAATGAGCCAGCACAAAAATCTCAGCAATCTGTGGATATTTCAGAACAGTATCACATAACTAACTCCAAAGACAATGGACACAAGGCAATTGCTGTTGTGTACAGCAGAATGTCACTTTTAGAACCTTTGTTCTTTTTACTCTTCATGATGAGCACAGTAAGAGCATATGACAACTCACGATAAAACCAGACATAAGGTGAAAAACAGATACGAAGACTGGTGATCACAATACCTTTTGCCACATTTGCAGTATTCATGCTTTGTTGCAAACTTCATGGGGTATTTGAGATGGATTTTCCATTCTGCCATACAGGCCTGGTTTGAGGAGTGACAGTGATATTGTTGACTCATGCACCTTAACTCCCAGCCACTGAACTGTGTGCCCATTTCAACATCGCAGACAAGGCCCTAAACTGCTCAGATAGGAGGGAAACCAGATCAGTAGTGTCTGGGAGGTAAACAGATAAATATGGAAATGTCAATGCTACCATGATAGCAATCTTGAACAAAAAAGTAAGTGAACCCCTAGTTTCATAACTCTTAATTATTCCCATAATTGAGCTAAAGTGTTTAAATAATTAGGCAGATTCTAAGGGCTGAGTTTAGAAGGCCACATCTTGTAGAACGATCAGAAACACTGAGTCTGATCTTCACCATACAGATGGAAACAGGTCATGCCACAATCTAAGGAAATCTCTGAGGACCTCAGAAAAAAAAAGTGTTTTTGACATCCATTAATACAGAAGGGATTACAAAACAATTTCTAAGAATTTGAGTCTCCACCAACCTGCTAGCAAGATTGCCTAGAAAACCCAAGACCACTGTCACTCTAACCAGGAGATCTCTCCAACAAAAATCTCTCCCAAGAACAAAAAGGAAAATCAGTAATATCAACTCTCGCCTTGGATAATGGGACCGTTCATGACTCAACTATCTGAATATGACTGAGCAAGAATAGAACCTGTGGCAGGATAGAAAAGAGAAGGCCAAAGCTCTCCAAAAAGAACAGCTGCCCACCTGAAGTTCACCAAAGAACACATAAACCGTCCACAAGGCTTCTGGAAGCTTGTTCTCTGGGCAGATGATTCAAAGGCTAGGCCTCAATGAGAAACATTATGTGTGGTTAAATGAAACACTGCTTTTGGACAGACAAACCTCATCCCAGCCATCGAGTATGGTGGTGGGAGAGTAATGCTTTGGGGCTGCTTTGCCGCCTCAGGACCTGAACGGCTTGCCATCATTAACACAACCATAAACTCTGCACTGGATCAGATATTTCAAGAGGAGAATGTCAAGCCATCTGTCTGTGATCTGAATCTGAACCCAAAGTAGTCTTGCAGCAAGACAATGACTGAAAGAATACAAGCAGATCTACAAAGGAGAGTTGTAGAAGAAGCAATTTGGTGCTATACAACAGACTAGTCAAAGCCTGGACCTAAACACCATTGAACTGCTGTAGCAGGACCTATAGTGAGCTGCACACAGAGGAAATTATCATCCCTAACAGCACTGGGGTGATAGAGATGAGGGAGCAGGGAGAGAGAATACATTTCCTACAAAATACAACAACAATCCTTGTTAATTAAAACCTGTTTAACACACAAATATATGCACACAGAATATTCCCTCCCTTTATATTAAATGTTTTGTCATCCTCTTTGGAGGTTTACCACCTCCTGAGAACTGCAATAAAAGAATTGAGACTGTTATTGCCTGTCTTGAGATAATACACCTCAAAATGCTAAATGAGAATTCTTAATATCAAAGACAAGAAAAAAAAATTACACTTGGAAAAGTAAAAGAGAAATGATTGCTGAAAAGGAGAAAACAAGTATGCTGTTGAGCATTATGCTTTTGAAAGCATCTTCATTGTCCATTCATAATTATTAATACAAAACAAGAATAATAATTCCTTGCTTTTATAAAGTGTTTTTTATCCCAAATAATCCCAAAGCACTTGGATTAAAGTGCCTGTACTGTGTGGCATTTTCTAGCAAATGTGCATTTGAAACCGATACCATTTTAAGTTTTGTCTGCTCATCATGTGCAGACACAAAAATAAGTCATCCTAAAAAAGACATTTAAATTGGTTTCTAAATAATTACTACTTATGCAACTACACAGAAAGCACTTCAGACATGAACGGCATGTTTAAAGTTTGCTCTTGTAGTGTTTCAGCAGTACATCACTCCCAACACATACAGGATTATCTTTCTTCATCAGTAATTTATGACTGCACACTTTCATGCAAGACCAGTAAAGATTTATTTCTACATTAACTGGATGTTATTGGCGTTTATATGGTATATAAACACTTTAATTACTTTGTTACACTGTTTATAAAAATCATAATGTATTGTTAAAACCCCTAATGACAGAGCAATTAACACTTCAAGTGGCTTATCAAATTAATTTTATTAAATTTCAAGTAAATCTTTAGTGACAGAATGGCAATTCTTCTGCATTTCAGTCAAAATATGGGCCATGTCTTTGTGAGGACAGCAGTGCGCCTATCTCCTGTTGAGGAATGGTCTTTCTCTATTAAGTTAATAGAAATGAACCCAGGCTTGGGTCACGGAGGATCACTGTGTCTGCTGGTATTCATTCCAGTCAGGCTCCTAAATCACAGGTGCTAACTGGTGCCTTTAATTGACCCATTTGCCTATTTAGCTGTTCCTACACCCAGTCCTCCAAGTTAAAAATACCCAACTTCAAGAGAATTCACGCAGTGTTTCCTCACCTTTCTCTTAATAGTCACAATTTATAGATCTTAGTATGCAATCAATTTATAATGTGCAGATGCAGTTGGCAACATCAGTGCACCAGATATTCCCACATTGAGTGTTCTATTGATCTTTTTTCCAGAAGTCTAACTGGTCACATTTCAAGCAGCCACACCTGAATGAGGACTGTACTGGAACTTATAAGTCTGGTACAAGGTTAATAAATATTACGGATCTTTCAAGGCACTTGAACTTTCAAGGCACTGAAAGCAATTTAAAAAATCTGCCTAAAAAAAGACCCCTGAAAATTTGTTTCAATAACTGGCAATGGTCTCCCAGGACTAAGGTTAGGAACCACTGCTACAAAGAAACCAACCACGATGCTAATGTTTGTAAGCGAAGTGCAACAGCCTTTATCTGAGGCATTACAAAGATTTGTACATCTGACAACTTACGTCAAATCTGATTGGTGGTAATGTTTCTATACCTACATCAAGCATATTAAAATGACTATGCTATACAAGAGAAAGTGGAAAAATACTGTACTGCAGCTAACTCACAAAAACAAACTTTTACAGGCTGGACGGTTTATTCTGGGCAAGGCAAAATGCCAATCTAATTTGCAAGGAAGGAGGCAGTTGGATACAGTCACAGTTTGATATGACCATGATGCCTTCTCAATCATACAGAAGGTTCCATAAGCAAGAGTTTTGCTAGACCTATGATAAAAGTAGGCAAGGACACCGAATATCATTACATTAAGATTTCAGAAGACTATGAATAAAACTGATCTACTGAACATTTACACAGACAAGTATCTAAAGAGGGTACCAAGAACGACAAATAAAAGTTCTCTATGTTGGAGCTAATAAATAGGTCAGACATGACCACCAGACTTCAATACCCATGTTGATGTTTTTTAACGAAAAAAACAAAACTGAATAGGCATCCACCACATTAACATTTTTGGTGGCAACAGGTTAGATCTTCATACAGAGGTTTTGGCTTTATAAAAACATTGGCAATCAAAACAAGTGGAGGAGATATTTAAAGCTATTTAGTTCACAACTTAAAATGCAGCTTTGCCTGGTCAGTACAAAACAACCCAACCCTTTGCTTGACCTCATTGAAACATTCTGTAACAACTGCTGAAATGGGATTATCTCCCCAAAATAAACCAGAGCAAAATACGTTGAACTAGCATAAAAACCTCTCATCAGAAAGATAACACTTTCTTGAAGTATTTATTTTGGCTTTTGCCGAAATTGTTCAGTTACTTTACCTGTATCTTCTGCCATATCATTAGACTCCCCCATCCATGCAGAAATCTCAAGAGAGATTGTCAAATTCAGGCACAAGAAAGAAAAGCAATAAAATTCCCCCTGTTGCTGCACCGAAGTCCCAGCAAGCAACAGCGGCTGAAAGTTTTGTAAAGCTAAGTCAGCTAGAACTCGATACACGTCCTGCCTGCTCAACAGAGTATTTTTAGAGCTGCTCTCTACAGCGTCCAAATAAAATTAGGCACTCATATGGAAAGACTGCTCTCTCCCTCCCTCTCTCTTTCCAAGCCCGTCTGCTAATCCAAAGCCTGATAGGACAGACTGACCGGCCTAAGGGTAAAAACTGCCCTGTTTACCTTCTCTGCACTCCAGTATATCAGCCAAGAAGAGACACAAGCAAATGCCAAACTCGTGGATATTTTTCCAGGTAGGAACTCTTCAGTGCTCTAGTTGAAAGGTGTTTTATGTTTGACGACGGCAAAAACCAAAAACCTAAACGAGTCTCTTCTGTGTAATGTTAGTAAAACCTGGCATTCTCCCAAAACTACTTTGCCGCTGTCACTGACATATTCTTCACCCTTACATGGCCTGTTCTGAAAAGCCACCCTTGCTATCTATGGACATTTCACTACTGTACACAGCTGTAGCACTTCTTCCTGTTTCACTGACAGGTCTTCACCTCTCCGGTGTCAAAGCGCTCCAGCGAGGAATGAAGGGCGTCTACTTCGCACTATATTTTCACACAGCTGACCTTCTGTACAGACTCCTCGTGTTTACGAGGGCAGTTACAGATTTCCAAAGGCAATCTGAGGAGCCGTGAGAGACTGAGGTAAGAGCCCTCAGGTGAGAGAGTTCCCTACCTCTACAGAATTTTGCTCATTGTTTTAAAGCAAAAGCATCTCAAATGCAAACCAAATCTCAAACAAAAAGCATTTGAAGAATAGTACTGCAGGTTAACTTCATGTTCTACAGATGTGCAACTGCTACCTCCAATTCCTATAACCCCACTGACACAAGTCCAACCCCTTTTGGAAACATGAATAACTTTAAAATGCTTTTCACACACTACTGAATGCTTTAAATGCAAAACTAAAACATGAAAAAAATATTTTCACAGACGGTACGAACATCAGGGGCAGCACGGTGGTACTGGGTTCAATTCCTGGGCTGCTAGCTTTCCAGTTCCCTCCCAAAACCCAAAGGCACACTGGTAGGTTAACTGGCTTCTGGGAAAACTGGCCCTGGTGTGAGTGTGAGTGTCTGTGTGCCCTACAATGGACTCCCATCCAGGCTGTATCCTGCCTTGTGCCTGTTGCTTCCCACGGTAGGCCCCCACAAACCTAAACTGGATGAAGAGGTTAGAAAATGGATGGATGGAGTATTTACTGGGAAGGTGGAATGTTAATGGTCCCATCTTCTTTGAGGTCTTGAGGTGGATAGAACAGAGTCCATCAGTAACAGTACAAACAACTCAAACCTGTATTGTTTGCACTTTGTGGGGGGTAACCTCAGTGGCTTGCTTCAGTTTTCATATGAACCAGAAAAAGGACCGAAGTTTGCATGTACACATACTATAAAGCCTAAGAATAAAACACTGGGGTTTTTCAGAATTTAACACCCAGGAAGAACGGTCTTAATCTGCAATCATTTCAATAATAATAATTAAATAATAACAAAGCAGCCACAAAATGAGGCAGTTTAGCGTCTGGAAGATTCAGAAATAAATCCCATTGTTGTGAAAGCAATTTATATTATTTAAGGACTTATATCTTGTAAATTTACGGAAAGTAATAAAAATGAATGATTTTATGTTTAAGAAAAACACGGTTCTGTTTTTTTGGATACCATACTGGAACCAAAGTATCTTATTGAAAGACACATTACATTCATAATGAACAAGATGATGTGTGAAGAAATGGTTACATGACCAATTGATTAGAGTATATAGAAAAAACGTATAGTGGGGTAAAAAAAAATTATAATAGCTATTTTATTAAGCCAAGATGGTGATAAACGACTCCAGTTCTGCAAAGCAGGTAGTGCAATGAGTAACACCAACACCTATTCTACAAACTACATACATCTCAGAGAGTAAGACTGCATGTTTTTTTAGCATAAAACCCTTCTGCCGAGGAAAAAAAGAACTGTCTTGTAACAGCCGATACTTGCTTATTACATGCTGGTGGAAAACTTGAGGATTAGGACTAAAATCTTACCTCACGGAACACGGCCTCGTTTTCTACAGGGTCCCCTCCAACTGGCATGTACTAAGTTCAGGTAAGAATACATTTCATATGATTTACTAGCAGATAAAATATGTAATAAAACTATGAATTCAAAAGATTATAATACTGACCATGTATGAAAAAGTTACATCATACATAAACACAAGTACAATTTTTTTGCACAAAACCCAAACAGGGTTACTCCTCCCTTTCCACGAACATGGTACAAGACCAGAACATAAAACACATCGTAGAGTCCTGCGCCCAGTCCCCAAGCATGACAACATGCAGGTATTTGAATGAGCAAGACACATAAATACATGGCCGTAAATCCAAAATTAATTATGATATTTTTTGTGCAAAATAAACTTCTCTCTTGTTTTAAACGAGCGCCTACTATTTTTATTTGACTCCCACTTTATTATTCAGGACACGCCACTAAGCGGAGTGCCTCCACTGGGAAGTCATGGATGTCGTTTTTTGTTGTGTCCCTGCATTACATACTTATGCTGCGATGTTAAGGATGTTTTTAGTGGCTCGTGATTAAATATTTTAACGTGGGACCATGATGTGGGGGGAAAAAACACTATGAAACGTTTGCACACTGCAGCCTTGGCACACAGACTGAAAACAGGCAAGCCCTAAGGGAAAGGGACCATCAAAAAAACACGCAGCCACTTTAATCAAGTGTTCTCCCCAAAATCAAATGCAAAACACAAGTCTTCCCCACTATATTAGAAACAGGTTTTGGCTGCTTCTAGAATAAAAAATAAAAAAAAAACATGCCACATGGCAAGTCACCCACAACTCTACACATGCCGCATAATGCCACATGCAAAGTATGTTTGAAAAGCAAATTACTTATGAATGTTACGCTGTTAAAAACAACACCCTTTTACAAGCAGTCACAGCCAAGACTTCGCTGTAATTACCAGCTCCAGTGTCTTCAACAGGGGAGTAGCTGTGGTCATGACGAAACCTAAAGCATATGCTACAAGGAATAAAGTGTGTAAATCAATAAAAGCAAAACAAGTACATATATATATATATTCTAATATAGGATATTCTTTAAACGATGTTAACAGTGCTACGCTAACAGTGAAGCAGATTACTGACAAAATCAAGGCTATTCTGATTCACCTGAAAATCAAGGAACATCAATAGTCTGGCAAATCAAAAATGTTCTAGTTAGCCATTTAAAGTGAAGATGAAAATCACTGAAAACCTTCATAAAACACAGAATAAAATTCACAGGTTATTGTAACAAAGGGGGTTCAAACTTCTTTGAAATTATAAAAAGCTGAAAAGCTACTCATGGGCGAACATGCACCGCTTCAAAAACACTACATAGGCTTGAGCTCTACACCCTTAACACAAATTAGAACATAAAGAAACCCATGTACTAACCAGAACTTCATAATAAGACAGTTCTTCATAATATAGGTCTAGGAGGACTCCGAGTTCTGTTAAACTGATTTCTAGCTGAACTTTTATCAGCTCTTCAGACATTGGATAGGGGTTAGTAATTAGGATCTACCACAGTACAACACGGTTGCTTTTTCAATGTCTAATACAATGTCATTCCAATACATCTGGACCCCACTTAAAGTTTGTCTGTTGAGCTGTTTAGACAGACATAAGGAAACTATGGAAGCACATTGCTACCATCAAGGAAAAGAAAATCCAGAGTTATCGTGTGAAATCAAGTAAGTTCTCTCTTAATTATGAGACGGTATATTCTCATTACTTTATGTGATCATAAAGTTATAAAGTCATGTGATCACAAAGTCATAATACCTACATTATCATTAACTGACTTAAAGTGAAATAGACTCCACTGCACACTCGTTCTTGTTTAAGAATGTGTGTGACTGTCCTCATGGTTAAAACGGTGTTCACATTAGGTACAAAGTGTAGCATTTCATTCTGAATAAACCCGGGTAGAAAGTAAATGTGAGCACATACTGTACTGTGACGCTGGACATTATCAAGAACACAAAGCACACATTTCCAGCTGAGCTATTGGTAGCTTCTATGCGCCATCATTGCACAATGTAACAGATCATTCATAGACTCAAATGACCTTTGCTATCTTGTATTATCTTGTAAGATAACACTGCATTTTTGTTTCTTTGATTAAACGCTTCTGCGCTTCTGTAGGAAGTAAACTGTTAATAGAGATGCTGATGAGACAGCTGTTTGTTAAATTTCTTAACCAAAACAAAATCCTGTGACAGAATATTCAGGAAAAAAAGGCTGAGGGCAGACAGATCTAAAAGGTCCAATTAAGCAGCAAAATGTATCTGATATCCATTAGCCTCGGTAATTATGAGATCAGTTAGAATGAAAACCAGAAGAGACTGGGGTTCTCAACCAAAGTTTTAGGGCTGATTGTTCCTCATTTTAGAAATTCCTTTTTCATATTTGCCACAGGGTTTGGATTCTGAATCATTAACCTCATGGCGATTGAAGATGCATGAATTAAACCAATTGGATTCCAACAGATGTTATTTACAGGCCATGAAAGGAATGATTCAATTACTTCTCTGAGCTTTATTGAGCTAATATTTTCATAAATAAGGACTAGTTGAGTGCTTCCAGATATTACATTTCTAATTTATTCAGGATACTACATTTTGTAAGCAACATAAAATCTGCAACTGGTAGCAGCTGGAAATGAAGAGGAAACACCCATTTAATTTAAAGCTGAACTGTAGCAATGACTTGATTCAGCATGAACTCAGCAGGGAGCAGGGTCACATGGAACCAGGACTGATCACTCCAGCGTTCTTCCAGTTGGCACCTCTGCTTGGCTGCTCATGCCAAGTGGTTCCTTGCGACACTATACCTTCCCATCCAACAGTTCTAATTGTCTTAAGAGACATTACAGGGGGGTCAGCTTTCTTCTTTACATGACTAACAACATTCTTTAATTCCTCGTTAATGGAGTTTTAAAATGAAAGTTCTGACTTCGCTCCAGTACATAAATCCATTGCAATTTTAGAGCACTATTGTTTCATATTCCTCACTCTACCCCATTTTAACTCATAAAGCAAAGCATTTCTTTATTTCACTACTGCCGTATAATTAGGGTTTGGCCGGACCACAGAGCATGTGAATGGCAGGAAAATGGCAGTCCTGACTGGGATGCAATCTGGCCACAATTGTTTCTTCAAACTGTTTTTGAAGCACAGCAGCTCGTTTATTGTTAATTAGGACAGTGTTTTCAGTCATCAAGGTGCCCAATGTGTGACTGGCACATCAGCTTGAAGAAATATCTACTATATTTACTTGGCCAACTTTTTCTTTTCTTAACTCTTACTTCTAAAAGCTTCGATATGTTTAATTTTGGACTACGGTCTTGGACGACTGCTTTCTGAAAACCTGAGTTCCTCAAGACATGAAGACTTTGTGGTCCTCCAAACAGTTTTTAAAACCACTTCACACCCACTTGTGTCCATTAAGTCACCTTTGTCAAGAGGTGTGAAGCAAATAATATTTATGTTTCTCTCTCAGAATACACTGCACTGTAGTGCAGCCCTTTAATAGGTAAAAATTGTCCCCTGTACACCATGCCAATTTTCAAATAAAATGTCACCTTAGAATTGGTTACAATTAATAAAATAGAAAAATTCTGAAACGCTTTTTCTCATTAATATGCTAAAACGTGACCTGAACCAGCTGTATACTCATGGCTGACTCAAGCTGTGCCGTTTTTGAGCCTGTGCCAGCCTTTGCATTGTGAGCAAAGAACTCAACTTTTATCTTACACGACCACAAAGATTTCTGCCACATGTGCTACATCATTTATCTGCTTTATCACATTTTCTTTCTTGAAACTTACCCATACAGTACAAGCCAGAATTGTGTAGGGACCAGAATGTGGTCTAAACACTACTACGATATAAACGCTGACTCACATTACCACCCCTAACCAGTTTTTCGGTTTGCTTGGCAACACGCCTTGGAACGGAAGACTATTCAGGTAATATCTCGGTGGAATCCCATACATTCCACTTCTTAAAAAGCTATTATTACCAAGTCTTTCATGCCATGATGACTGTTCACATTTATTCATTATTGTATATGGTGCCATGTAATATTCTCTCTTTTCCCTGAAAAACCAGTAAACAATTCAAATAAACTATTCTTCTAAACTTCTTGCATTTTCAAGCTTCTTTGTCTACATGTTTGGTTTATTCTATTACAATATGGGTTGTGGCTTAAAATTCAATATGTGAGAAGGAGAGACAATATTTACTCTTATCTCAAGTTTAATTATTGTTTACATTCAGAGATAGTCCAGGACCATAATGTTTGGACCTCATCTTTTTTTCAATTCAGCTCTTTAGGATTAATATAGAAAAGGGGTTGAATACTTACTGAACATTAGAATCCAGGCATCTTTGAAAATCTAAACATTTAGGTACTAGAAGCATTTTTAGCTTTTAAAAAGG